TTGGGCTTAACTCTTCAGGTAAGTTATTTTAAAGAATTACTCTCTCAATTTATTAATGCCATAAAAAACACATGTTACAAAATTTCATGGCACACTAGTTGGAAAACAGCTCTCATCCCATCAAATTATACGTAAAATTCTTTACAAAGCAGGAACTCTGCATTTTAATAACATGGTGAATTACTATATCTTCTGAATGGGTAATTTTACAAGAAACTAAGAACAAGTAATAAAGTTTTTCAGAAGCTGCAGAAAAAGTGCTAGGTCCCAACAGAAAATCAGAAAACAGATAACATGAATACACATTATAGAGTTGACATGTTCTCGAGTTATCTGGTTTGTTATCTAGCAAACACAGATATGATTCACCTGCATATTCTACAGAAAGATAAATTCCATATGATTCATGTTCTGTACATTTTGCAGAAAGTGATAATGAATGCATAAACAAAATACAGACGATATACAATAGAAATTTAGTATTCATATTAAAAAATGACTTGAATATAGAATAAATCTAGAGATATCCTTGTAGATATTGCAAAATTATTTAAAAGTTGAATACAATCCTACATATATATGTGATCATACATCTTTAAAAATTTGCTTGCCAATTACAAAAGTCATGCAGATATATTCCACATTAAGAATTCTACTCAGAGCTTGATAAAATGTAATGTTTGTTCTCTATGCTACAAATAAAAGTAACTTTTATAAGTGTTATTATATTGCGGGTCTATAAAAATTTTCTCTTCTTCTTTGCAGAAATATTTGGTTAGAGTAGACTTTAAGGTATCTCTTGTATTATGGCGATGCTGTTTTATTTACTGCCAAGTTGTTGTTTCATTTATGGTAACTTGAGTAGTTGAATGTTATGGAAACCCTACTGTGACGTAATCGGGTGCATGATTCTGGGAAATTTTGAATCATGGGATGTTTGTAAGCACTTTTGTGGTATGTGTTGGTTTTATTGTTTAGATGGTAGAATGGCTCAATGTAGTAAGATTAATTCGAAGTTTCTGTACGATTTGGAATGAAAGGGGGAAAAGAGCGTTAATTGACTGGTGTGTAAATGAAGATTTACTTAGTAGCCATTATAAGTGTCCTGTATGTAGGAAGGATATCCGTCTAGTCGAACGTAAAAACCATTTAGATGGATTTGAATGGGTTTGTAGGAAGAAAGGTTCAGATGTGGTGCCGCCGATACACAGATTCGAGTTCAGATAATTTTAGGAAGTTTTGGTTAATCTTTGGATTATGGTAACTTGGCGATTTTTTGGTGAAACTTTGGCAACCAACCCTGCTACAGCAACCTGCTAGTTTTTGTTTGGACGCAATTTTGTTTTCACGAAGGCACTTTTTTTCTTTTTTTTTTTTTTTACTCAACATTTTTTCTAACAATCTGCTAGCCGAATTACGCTTATACTAGAACTTTTATGGAACAAAAATGCTTAATCATGACGAAGATTAGGTACGAAATTGGGAGAAAGTGCAGAATCGCCCACTGCTTGCCGCGTTTTTAAGAATTGCACATACACGGTATCATCCATGTACACGTCAAACTATTTTGACTTAAAAAAATATCCCAGAATTGCACAAAAATGGCATTGAGCACACTCTTGACTTTATCCATGTACACTGCTAAAGTCCTAGCTAGTAACCTTTATCGCCTTACCAAAATGTCGCCAAACTACTTGTTACCATATTCCAAAGATTAGCCAAAAAAAAAAATCCCAGAATTGCACAAAAATGGCATTGCACACACTCTTAACTTTATCCATCTACACTGCTATTTTCTCATAAATTACAAAAACTTGCACGAAAATGCAAAAAAAATCTGTGAATCTTTAAACTCGGTAAAAAGCACATATATGAAATTACCTGATCGCGAAAAAGGATATACCCTTTCCAAGGATGACCCTCTTCACTATATCCATGTACACTGCTTTTTTCTCATAAATTAGAAAAATTTCACGAAAATGCATTAAAATACTCAACGTATTCCAAAATACTACAAACATATAACTCACAAAATCACGATCATTAAATTAAAAAACACTACTTAAAATATAAATAAGCACATACATTAAATTAATAAAAATTAGATTACAATCCTAATTACTTTAAACTAAATCATTGCTAATAACAATTTTCAATAATATCATATTAATTTATTTACTCCTTACATTTAGAACAATGCATAAAAATAATATCCACAAATGATTAAAAATACTAACTTACCTAATCTTCAGAATCTTCATTACGTGGCACACACACTTCCACTATTTCACACAACGAAGCTTAATACAAAATAATATAGTACTACAGTTTTCCAAATTCCCCCCCTTTTCCGATTAAAGAACTGTAATTCGTCCATTAATGTCACATGACATATCTCATGATCTCTCATTTCTCTCGCACAAAATAATGCGCAATCGGAACTAAGTATTTCTCACATTATTACCAAAGTCCTAGGTAACCTTTATCGCCTCCAAAATGTCGCCAAACTACCAGTTACCATATTCCAAAGATCAGCCAAAGTTTTTTTATGCTGTTAAGAAATTTTGTGCGTCACAAACTAAAGACGAAGGAACTTCAAAATATGGTAAGTGGATATTTGCTTTTTGTAGTGCTTAAATGTACAACATGTTTTCCTTTTTTATGTTATTTTATTGTTTGGTTTAAAATGTAGTTTATTGAAATTATGATTTTTTTTTTGTTTGCCTGTATTATAGATTGGGCGCTCCTTTGACTTTTTAAGTGAAAATATATCGATGTGTACATGGACAAAGTCAAGGGAGTGCACAATTCTTGAAATTTTTTTTGAAGTGAAAATAGGTCGTTGTGTACATGGATAAAATCAAGGAGTGCGCAATACCATTTTTGTGCAATTCGGAGATTTTTTTTTAAAGCAAAAATAGGTCAATGTGTACATGGATCGAGTTTGTGCAATTCTTTATCGTGTTATTTTGGCTGTGTGTCCCAAAAATTGCCGTTATGCAAGCCAAAATAATAAGTCAAAGAATTGCACAAACTCTGTATTCATGTACCGCCAAAAATCACCAAGGGGCACCCTAAAATACACTTTTACCAAATATTTTGGTACTTATCTGTTATTGGGACCCGATTCAGAAATTTATGTAGGCATGTACATGCATACATTCTGAATCCAATCCTGATGACAGAAATGTACCAATATTTTAATAGAAATAACAGTTGATGTTCTAAAAAAAAAAAAAAAAAAAAAAAAAAAAAAAAACAGAAGTATTAAATAATTTATGCTAAAACGGGTATTATAAAAGTTTCACATATTAATAAATTTAATTTTCATATGTTTTGAAATACACATTTAAATAAAACAGATGAAAGCATTTAAACAACAAACTGTCAAACTTAAAAAAAAAAAAAAAAAAAAAAAAAACTGCTTTTAGACCTTTTATAAACAGATAAGACTTCCCCCAATTTTTCAATTACTGTGTCAATTAAAAAATATGTCAAGTGATAAACTTCCTCAATTATGATCATCATAGGGAAAAGGTGTCCGGTAATAATAGGAATCAAATGCAATTTATGTCACAGGTTTTATTCCATCAGCTGACAGTTCCTTGAATGTCAGAAATCTAATGGAACTAAGCATAAATATTAATCATTCCATGTTGGTAACAACACAAACGTAAATAAATGTAAAAAAAGGATACAATATAATTTAAAAATTTGTATCAAAAGGATAAAAATATTTTCAATCCAACACTGAGAGCTTAGCTTCTCATATTAACTGTTAAAACAGACTAATGCTCAGAGAGAAAATATTCTTTTACTCGCTGAAAGCTCAAAAAAAATTTTATATCAGTGCGATGAAATATCAGACAGATATGAGATCTTTCCTTCTAGCGATCATACAGTACCAATGAAGGGCAGATGCTTTTTTCTCTCTCTCTTCAGCATATCAGAGTCAAGTTCATCATAAAACTAAATTTACTTGCTACACTAATACTTCATGATAGAAAACATGCCGTGCAAAACACCTGCAACAGAATTGAATCAAGTGCCATATTATTTATTGAAAACTATGTGCTGCTTTTTCTCTTTTAATCAGGAACTATCATCAAAAGATGAAATAAAGATAATTAAAAACATTTCTATGATAACTATATTTGTATATATAATTTAAGGCAAAAACAAACATGCCTTAAATTAAGCTTTAATAGAGAATTGCATAAAAAACTACTTCATAGTTAAGTAGTAATATACGTATTTCAATCTTTTACTTTGTTATGACAAACTGTTCTCATACACTACCTAAAAATCACTGCAACTCTACTACAATTTTTGGCTACTGCCCATGTAACCGGAAACAAATCAAGAAACATATACACTAACATAATATCATAAACTATCTTTTATACTAATATTTGATCCTCTCTTTATCTAAAATCAATAATTAAAATGGAAAATATGCTTGAATGAAATAAAAAAGTGTAAGAGAAGAAAATAACTCGAAGCTTCGATATAATAAATATTGTCTTTTTAAATGGCCAAAATTTAAATTTTTTATTTTTTCTTCATGTATGGCAGGAATTTATTTCAAAACACAAAAGTTAATGTATAGCTCTCCGGTATTACAAAACTAGAAAAAACAACTGATTAAACATTACGAGTACAACCACAAACAAATGGGCGTGTACGTGAAGACATTAGAGAAGTTTTGTTTTAACAATTTTGACTTCATCGATTTCATGAGTTAAACAAGTATTTCCAACCACATAAATATAAATTATGCTTATCATGCATTACATATGCTTATCACGTTTGATATCGACGCTGCGATCATCTTCCGCAAACAAGACACATACCACAACAAAGTCACATGCTTTGATCAAAACAGAACATATGTCGCAGAAGTAAGAACTACATATGGCACCTGATTTAATAATGTAAATTCAAGGATAATTCATGAGCAAAAATTACATTATGAAAACCATGCAAGATAAAATACAAACCGCCAGGAGTAGTTGAAAAAATGGTTCCACCAGGTGTAGAAGAGTAGTCTATTGGTAACTGAGAGGCATCGTTAATAACTACTCTACGGCCAGGAATTTCCCTTGTATTGCTACTTTTCCTCTGAGGAGAATTGTTATTCATCATTATAAAATTATTTACAAGAATATACAAATAAATTTATAACAAATAATTAACTTCAATTCATTCACAACCCAACCACGTTGTTTCCAACTTCAGACAACGCGATTAACACGCAGACCACAAAAACAAGCACTTCGTTTTTCGTACCGTTGCCAAATGCGTAGCATACATTGTAACAAAACTTCAGTAAATATATTTATAGAACTTAACGTTCAGAGTTATTTTAGTAATATTAAGAGTTTAGCATGTATTTAAATATCATATTAAGTTATCATATTTACTAGTATAATAATTTTATTCATATTGTCAACATTCCTTTAATCAAGCCATGTTTAATATGAAAGTAAATAAATCATAAAACTGTAACCTTGATATAAAAAAAAAGCATCGACTGCTATTTACACAGTGTAGGGGGTATATTCGTTATTAAATTTTTCATAATATATGAATGAAAGATGGCTATAATTTATTTAGTTTTCTTTTCATTATTATTTACATCTTCTTTGTGTAATAAGTACTCGGAGAAAATGAATTCTCCTGAATACCAGAATTTACTTTCACTAGATAAACCATTCAGAATGCAAAAATTAAATTTAGTTTGGGAAAAAGCCGCTAAAGTGAGTATTTCTTTGATGTGTCAAATGTAGATTTTGATTCGTTTATTTGTTTAAAGTTTGTCAATGCAGTCTTTGTTCTCAACTGTCTAATATTTTTTTTTTTTTTTTTTTCCAAATAAATATATACAATAGCTCACATTTGTTTTCGGACACTGTTTTTTTTTTCAGCTTTATTTGCTAACAACAGTTGCTAAATATTAGTGAAATGATTTTACTCTTCTTTCACGGGCATTATTGATCATTTTTAAAATCTGCTTGTTAAAAACAAGTTTAAAAAAATTCGAAATTTTTAGTTTAAAAAAATTTTGTTTAAAAAAATTCGAAAAGCTGAAAAAGTGATCTCACATAAGTAATCGATCACCTTGAGCAAATATATTTTCTAAAACATGCTAAACATATATTTGATAAAAACAGGACAATAACATACCAAGCATTTCATGAGATATCCTTCATTTAAAATTGCATCTTTCTTGTGCTTTGTCATGGATTCAACAAATTTTTTCATGTAAGGATGTTCTATTCTTGCATAAGAATTTCTTTTAGTAGAACTTAAGAAGAAATGTCATGTTTCTTTATTCGTTTCTTCAATTCACTGCTTACCTGTTTGAAAGAGTTTAAGTCTGACGAATATGGAAGAGTTTTGTAACTTCAAGACATTTGTATAATAACCACAAGCGAACATTTAGGGCTGCATGTTTAGGATCCTTATCCTGATAGAGTTTGAATGTATTTTGCAGTGGAAATTTTCCTGCAGATACTTTCAGGTGTTATGTAAGAATATTTATATATTTACACAAATCCATATTATTTTATACAGAAATTAAATTTTTCTTTTCAGAAGGAACAGGGGCCCTCTAGCGGCCAAGCAGTAAAACCACTGAACACTGGTATTTCGGTCTAGGGTTTGAATCCTGACGAACAGCCTGGCTGCATGGTCATTTTCATTGTTTTCCCCATGTGTAATATGTATGTGAGCCTTTTCCCTTAGAAAGTCCTCCATGAGGGCATCCATCTCCTTAGACAGCTAGCCTTCATGTGCTTTGCCATAATCAACTAAACTAAGCTAAACCAAACCAAAAGCAGTGAAATATCTCCAAACCATTTTGCTTCCACCCTCATGCTTAAGAGTAGGCAGTAGTATTTTTGGTTGATCTTTACATTATGGTAACTTGGCGTTTTTTTGGCGAAAATTTGGCGACCAACTCTCCTACAGCAACCCTCTATTTTTTTTCCCCGCCGCCATTTTGTCTTCACGAAGTAAAGACATGTTTCTTTTCTTTTTATCTACTGAACACTTCTTCCAACAATCTAGTAGCCGAATTACACTTATGCTAGAAATTTTATCAAACAAAACTGCTTAATCATGACAAATATTCACTGCAAAATTGGGAAAAAGTGCACAATACCATACTCCTTATGCGTTTTTCAAAATAACACATACACATAAACCATGTACACGGCGACTTATTTTTACTTAAAAAAACATCCCAGAATTGCACAAAAATGGCATTGCGCACACTCTTCACTATATCCATGTACACTGCTTTTTTCTCATAAATTAGAAAAATTTCACGAAAATACATGACAATTTTCTCAATCTTTAAACCCGGTAAAAAGAACATATATGAAATTACCTGATCGCGAAAAAGTATTTACCCTTACAAATATGAACATTTCCACATATAAAATAAATAAAATATCCAAAACTTTTACCTCTAAATCATCTATTACATTATACACGTCACCAACGAATTCATACCGCAAGAATTACAAATACTTAATATCAAATATTTAAATTATTTCCATGCACATTTATTTCAAACCTTAAACGTATACCAAATTCCTACAAACATAAAATTCACAAAATAACTATCATTTCATTAAAAATATAATTAAATTCAAAAACACTACTTAAAATATAATGAGCACATACATTAAATTAATAAAAATTACCTTACAATCCTAATTACTTTAAAAAATCAGTTGCTAATAACAATTTTCCCAATAATACAAAATTCCTTTCCACCTTACATTTAGAACATGCATAAAAAATAATATCCTCAAATAATTAAAAATACTAACTTACCTAATCTTCTTCAGAATCTTGATTACGTGTCCGATAAACTTTTCTTGAGTTACGGCCATGGGATCCAAAAATTCACGAACACTGTTTCACACAACACAGAATAAACCAAATACAAAATTTCTAGATTTGTTCCCGATTCCCCCCCTTTTCCGATTCAAGAACTGTAATTCGTCCATTAATATCACATGACATATCCCATGATCTCTCATTTCCCTCACACAAAATAATGCGTAATCGGAACTGAGTACTGCTCACATTATTACCAAAGTCCCAGGTAGTAACCTTTATCACCTCCAAAATGTCGCCAAACTACCAGTTACCGTATTGTAAAGATCAACCATATTTTTCGATTAAGGCTTAAGGGTAGGCAGCTCTTCATTAAACTTTCATCCCACCGCAGTTTGTCCATGACACCCTAATACATTACATTTTGATCCAGTTATTGTAGTGGTGTAGCTAGGGTGGGATGAGAGGGGACATCTGTTCTCAGGCACAGCATTCGAAGGGCGGCAAATTGATGCTACGGAATTTTTTAATGAAATGTTTTCCATTCTTGGCACACAGAAAGGGGTGCAAATTCTTCAGTTGTCCCCCAGTGCTGGAAATTCTAGCTACACACCCGAGTTATTGTCACCAAAAACTAAAACTCCTTATCCAATTAAAAGTAGAAATTTCGTGGTAAAATCAAAAGATTATTCATGCATTTTGTGTAAAAAGTCACATTCTGTGTATAATTATTCCTTATTCTTAAAAAGGAACTACTCTGATATGTGCCCTCAAGTCGCCAAATTTCTCGCCAAATGTTTTTGGCGAGAAACTTCACGCTGCCATATTACTATCTAAATTTTTTGTGTACATTTTGAACTTTAAGCCTAAAATGTCTCCAAAAACACGGTTTTCGCACATGCAAAAACTACGTTTTGAACACACGATTTAAGCTAAAAATCCGAAACAAAAACAAAAAAATTAGGTAGCAAAAACGTATAGTTTCTAACCAAAAATATTTGACAAGAATCCATGTACACAGCGACATGTTTTAACTTAAAAAAACATCTACGTATGGCACTCTGTAGGCAACGAACGAATCTACGAACTACGCACACCTCGCTTTAATAAATTAACATAACAACAATAAATTTCAAAGAATACCATGTACACAGCGTTCTGTTTCAATTTTAAAAAACATCTACGAATTGCACAATCTACACTAAAAACAAATCAAGAAAATAAACTAAAATAAATTTCAGACAATTCAAAAAACAACAATAAAAACAGAAATTCATACAAAAAACAATGAATATAACATTCTACAAAAAAAAACAATAAATAAGATTCACTTACCATAATGAAAGCTTCTTTTAAAAGCAGAAATATCTTCCCCCCCCCATCTTCTCAGATACAGAGCATACAAAGTCCAAAATACATTCGTTAATAAAATTTCGCCAGTCACACAACGTCTGTGAAGAAAACTTCCACGATTTTGCTATATCACATGCCTTCCTACAATTCAAAATTTTGAAAGTAACAATAAAAACTTCCTCCAACGTTAACTTGCTACACGAAATCCAAGATCCGAACCTTAAATTCCGCTGACACCCACATACTTTATTAGCAACAATTTGACTGCAAACCCACACAAGTCTATCAGAAACACAATTTTTCGTCTGAGTTCTCATATCAGCTCTGCATTTCGGACACTTCAAACTCCGTTTTAAAAGTCCCGTCTCCCACAGAAATTCCAAAAATACACTACGATCCCATAAATACATCCGTGAACAAAAGACTCGTTTAACAACTCTAACATCGTACCTTTTCATACTAAATTTACTCTATACACAATCTAAAACGCGGCTGAAACCTTCCCACACGTCTTCATCGCAACATAGGCCATTTCAAAAACCAAGGACACGAAACCAACTAGCAATTAAACTACTCCACCAAAAGATTTTTCAATGTTGACGTGGTTGCCATACAACACGCAATCGCGCCAAAAACCAGCGCAAAACACATATCGCCACATTTGGTGAAATTAGGGCATTTATCAGAGTTGTACTCTTAAAAATGACTGCTTTTTAAAGATTCATAATATTGTTAAAATAAATATTCATAATATTGTTAAAATAAATTGTGTATAAATTGTCTAAATGACAAACATAAGTTTGTTTCATACAAATCAAATCTTCTTGCTGCTTGTGCCAAAGCAAAATTAATTATTGTATCTGTCTGAAAATAATAGTCCTTTGTATGAAAACTTCACTAGTCCAGAATAGCTTGCCTAGCTCACAGTCAGAGAATGATACGCTACTCATGATATACAGAGAATAAACAATCCTAACTTGGCATTATAAGTAAGGAATAGTACTCTTAATGTTATGGGCCTGCCACTCATTTTGTCGGGTTTTTTAATTGTATATAATTCCTAGTTATGAGAATAGTTTATAGATGACAAATACACACAACGAGTATAATATGATCTGCCACCACCAAAAAGCATGGCAGATGCATAACAGATAAGAGTGCTATACTTAACATTTGAAATTTTAATTAAACATTTTTAATTTAATTTATTTAACTATTCACCTACATCTGGGGATCAAACCATCTGTTGATTTGCTTCATTTGTGCAATTTATTTATTTCAAATTCCTTGTTTTTTTTGTGTTTGATTTTTGTAGTTTATCACAATGGATTTAAAAATTAGAGATTTAACTGAGCAGTGAAGAAGCAGCAGTTGAATATTCTTTCAAGATAAAGGTCCTTATCTATAGAGAAAGACTGTGTATAAATAATCATCGGATGAAAATCGAATGTTTGCTGAAGGCAAAATTCTTCTGCTACCTTTGCTCATGCGGAAAAGAGAAAGGCATCCAAGGAACGTGCTTTGAGAACTCATTCATACCGTTTCTCATCAGTCT